ACTTGTCGTTTGGGTAGACAATCGTCGACCGGTCTGACGGCATCCCCACCGACACTCGGGTCCACCTCTTGGGCGGCCATACGATGTACAGACATATCGCTGATATCAGCCCTAATGGCACACAACCGAAGGTATTGCTATCAAAACCAACATTAAAACATAGTTTAGTAATCATTTCATAAACATATCAATAGTATTGTATTTGTTGTTTGCATTAAATGTTTTGAATTCATAAATATTTAAATCCATTTCACACTTAAAAACTCAAAATATTATAAAACTCATCGGAAAAGACTATTCAATAATCAATTCAATCGTCAGATTACACGCTAATTGCTATCAAAATAGCGGTAATTATCGATCACTTCTATGCCTTTCTATAAGTATTTCAAACATATTTCACACGAAAAAAGTCTTAACATTAAAACAAATCTCGAGTTTCACGACATTCGCAGACAATCACTGAATGGATCCACTGATTGGACACACGTGTGGTGTATGTATGCGTGGGTTAGCGCGTAGACTAACCCACACATACCGCACTCAGACATACCTGTCCATCGACTTATCGGCATTATCTCCCTCCACCCAACAGTGCCCTTTGGGAACCACTACACTCCGGTGCTTATACCTCGGCCTCGTCACCACAGTATCACCTAAAAGGTCACCACAAAACCAAACACACCATTAGCTTAAGAGCTGATCCCCTATCATACCACATATATATACTGAGATCCCTAACCTTCCAGCGCGACCACGCGTTTGATGATGAGTTGGTTGGGCTCCCGGGGCGACACAATCGACACTATCTGTCCCCTCTTGATGTCGAATCTCCTGGAGGCCCAGTGGGACAGTAGCACAATGTCTGAGCCCTTGTCGTCCTCCAGGTTGAAGGTGGGCTTCATTGACATGCCCTCCACTTTGGCCACGTATCCCACGCAGTCGACCACCACTATCGTCACCGGCACCGTCACCACCAGCGACCGCCATATTGTCTTCAGCACCGTCGCTGTCATAGTGTGTGTGAAGTGGTGGCCAATCACCACACAATCGGTGGTCACACCACTCGCTCGCAACACAGAGATAATGAGTGACCACTTGTTGTTACACTTGTTTAGTGGTTGATTGCACTCGAGATTAGCTGATGTGGTGGTGATAGCGATGATAATGGTGTGGATGAAAGTGATGACCAGTTTATTATTGCATTCAATTTCAATAGGATTTCTGCACTATTCACTCATTTTTGCAATCATTTCACTCGTCTGTGGACTTCAATAACACATTGAGAGGCCATTCGCCACACAAAGTATGTGTCAATAATAAGCGCATATTTATCGCCCCATCAAGTGGTTGTTCACACGTAAACGCATTGCAAAAGCACTGCCTATTGATTGATCCCAAGCGTTGAGTTTGCGGACGTAATCTGTGGACAGTATGTCTACCAATACAATGACATCACACACACAGACATCACGTGAATGTCAACAACAGATCACTCGCGAAGACCTTTGCCCTCGAAGTCCACTCGCAATCAAATCACCGGCCATTGAGTTGATACACACACGCCATGTCTTAGCGCTTAGGCGA